CCCTGCCGGTCCTGCTGGGACGGCTTCCCACGGGACTGTCCCTCCTGGGCATCACGGGGAGAGGGAAACTCAGCCCTTCGCCGGGGAAACCTCCCGCCTGGCCACAGGGAGGGAGCCGCTCGTGTTGGCCCCGTGCAGGGACATGCCCAGCACCTGGCAGCACGTGTCTGCGAGAACGGGCAGGTTTTTGGGGACACTGGTGGCACTGGGCTGTTCCCATCAAAAGCTGTTCATCGTGAGCGAGCGGGTCCACCCCACTTGCCAGCCGGAGGGGCTTGGTGGTGGGCAGCGTTTCATGGGGTGAGGTTTTGTATGGCCAGAGATAGCATGGCCAAAAGATGCTCGCTTTGAGGATTTTAAGGCATTTTTAGCAGCAGCCTGTGTGTTTGGGTTTTGCGGCACGTGCCTGTGCGCGGTGAACAGCCGAGGGGAGTGCTCCCACTCCCTGCTGTTGGGCAGGCAGGAAAAGCAGCTGGGAAGGTCGGCCACAGGCTCTGCTGTCGCTGGAGGTGTTCCTGCATCCCGTTTCGGGCTGATTGTGCGATGAAGTTGTAAGGGTCGGCTTGCCCAGTGGGTTAGGCAAGGATGAAAAATGCCCACATCAGTGTATGCATTTTTCTTATCCACCCACATGGCATTTTTTGTGTTGGGGGTGGCCTCTAGAGCTGAACACAGTGATTTACCCAGGAATCAGCATTGGGGTTTAAAGCAGATATTTTTAGTTACATTTGGGTTTGTGAAAACACGAGTCTGCATCATCTTAAAAGAAAGGTTTCTTGTTTATTTTTTTTGTCCTTTCCAAGAAGAAAAAAGACTATCTGGACTTGGGGCGGCCACGGCATGCAAGCTGCACTGATTCAACCCCCTTATTTTCCTGGCTTTGGTGGGAGAAACAGAGAGACCTTTACGGCCCGCAGAGCCCCTCTCCACCCAGCAGGGGCTTTTTTGGCAGCGTAGCCAAGTGCCCTGGGCTTCCCATGGCGAGCTGAGCGCCACAGGCGGCTGCAGGGCTTCTCCTTGGCCCCTGTTTGTCTTTAGCAAAGTGGGAATACCTGTGGAAGAAACAATCCAATGGGATTGTCTCTTCTGTGCCCCCTGTGATGGATTTCTGCGATGGGAACAGCTCCTCGCTAAGCACGTGGTGAGGCCAGGAGAGTTTGATTGTGTTTCTCTGCCCTTTTCAATGAGGAGGAAAAACCTCTGACGGAATTGCCGCGGCTGTCAATCTAAACAAAAGAAATGTCTCAGCCGTGGGAAGACAGCCTCTGACCTCAGTGAAACCCCAAAATACTACAAACCTTTTGAATGCTCTAAGAAATTTTTTCTTCCAGTTCCCTTTACTGCCGTGCACTTTGATGGCAAATAACTTCCCCCACCCTCCGCTGGCTCAGCCGTGTCCTGGGAGTTTTGTGGTCCCCCCAGCACCGCCCCAAGGAGTCGGGCACCACAGGATGGCACATAAAGTGCAAGCGTTAGCATCCACCTGTACTGCACCTCCCAAACTCACTATGGAGACCTTAAAGCTGCAGAGTGAGCAAGTGGTTTGCAGTTCAGGTTTTTCTGTTTTCACACCCTGAAATACAAAGCTGCAAAGAGCTGGTGTTTTGTTTTAGCAGAAGGCATCAGGTTTCTGAAAACAGGAGCTGAACCTGCAACTGGGGAGCCGAGGCAGCACCTGCCCTTTCCTGTCCCAGACCCGATGCTGTTTCACCTGCAGAGCAAAAAGTAGGTTCGTTATAGCGTGAAAACTTTCAAAGCCGCCTTCTTCAAAAATAAAATGAATGCCTGAGTGTTAAGGTACTTATTGCAACAGACATGTACTTGTCTGTGTATATATGGATACATATACAAGCGTTGTGCAACTCATGTATGTACACAATAACAAATAACCAGTGCAAGTGCAGCAGTTCCCTGCTGTTACATGCAGCGTTCTCTGCCTCTGCTGCAAATAGCAACTTTTTAAGCCCAAATGCAAGGTTTTTTGCAGGTTTGATCAGGGCGTGCAGTGGTGGGGAGGTAGGCAGCCAGCACGGCGTGAGGAGCAGCATGCCTCCACGCCATCCAGATGTCTGACTGTCCAGGGACACTGATTTGACTTTGGCAGAGAGCTCAATTCCTGACCTGGGTGTGCAAGTTGTCAGTGGGTACCTCTGCAATGAACCCAGGCTTTCTGCCTGCTCTCTTCCTGTAAATGGGGCCTTTT